AGCTAAAGTTAGAGTTTTTCTGAAAGTCGGGTTCCTCCTACTCAACTGGGCAAAGATTCCACTTCTTCTTTTACTACTAATAATAATAATACCACCATTACAACCACTAAATGAAAAACAGCTAAGCCGAAGATCAGAAAGAAGAAATTGCTTTCTGTTGGGATGCACAACTAACAGACTGACGTATATGATAAGGTGGTTCCGACAAAGACAAAAGAGACTGGAATGACCATTTGTACGCATGGATTCATTATTCAGATGCCAGAACGAAGCACTTCTGCTCAGTTCGGACAGGTTAGTTTAAGTACACACCTTTCACTTCACTCATCGGCCTCTGTCATCTCCTCCGAGGAGAGATGATGTCTAGAACTCGCAAGAACTTAGTAGAACTTTGACAACTACGCAAAAACGGTAAGACACAGGAGTAGGAACACCCGTGGCTTGACGACTAATTCCGAAAAGCCTACATATTCTAGAAATAACCCTAACGCAAAACTTAAACCTAATCCCAACTTCTGCCGCGACCGTTACTCTTATCTCCCAAGACTTTAGTGCAAGGCAATCTGCATTGTGAGGCTCCTAGTCCCATGTTCTGCTACAGAAAAAAACGTCTTTATAATGTTGAAATATAATTTTGCAAAGCAAGAACTCGAGAGAGGCCTACCGGAAAACTTTAAAAAGCACTTGGGAGAAGTCTACCAAGAAATCCAGCCAGATTCGAGGGTTAAGCGTACGTTGTAATCCTCTCAAGAGACCCTGGGACAGAAAATAACGAAAGGTGATAGTCAGAATTAAACTAATAACAAAATGAATATCACATGCAATGAAAGAGGAATTTGATGTAAGAAATGCATTGCTCCTACTAACTGCTTTAGGTCCCAGAAATTGTTTAAATAATCTAATAATATTGCAAGAAAATATAACAAATAAATAAGCATATATTTACCTACAGTTCTTACTTCATTATATCTTATTGTCTGTAGCAAACTTGGAAAATTTTTTAATTACTTATACTTATTAGTTTATTGGGTTCCTTAATATTCCTGTAAGAAATTTGTTGGTTAGTAGGTTGTCTACTTCAACTTACCGGAGGTCCAACTTACTGTTCTGCAGTTATATTAACATAGTTCGCGGTGCAAATTGCCGCGCAGACCATCAATTTAATTGCGCAAAAACTTAATAATAGTTTATTTTACTTGGTTTATTTAACTAATTTATATTTGAGTTCAGTTTGCAGTCAATTTTTCAGTTTACTTTTATGTTTACTATTTTTAGTTTAGTTTAAATTTTTTAGTTAAGTGAGGTTAGCTTACTTTATAATACGTTTTTGAGTTAGTTGGTTTTAGTTAGTTATTTCTTACTTATTCCTCCATATTTGCATAACTGCACCTTTTAATTATGGCGCGCTTTGTTGTTCACAACCGTTAGATTATTCAAAGAATTATTCCTATTTTTTATATTTTTATAAACTTTTCTTTTCTTATTTATCTTTCTTTCCCTTTGTATTACCTAGACTGTATACTCTTTATTACATGCGGTCCTCTATTACAGAGGGAGGGCGCTTTCGCGTGCTGATCTGGGATCCAAAGTAGGATTATACCCCACTTTAAATTGACCCCACTTTCTAAAAAGCTTCAACTTAACCTTGTTAAAATATTAAAGCCTCTCTTTCGTCTTTTTGAGGCCTTAATGCTTTTCTGTTCGTGCTTACTTACATCCGGATATAATCCATACGACATAAGTAGTATTTAGGATGACTTTTGCAGGCTGCAGCCTTAGTAAACACACTATGCAAACCCAAGTTAGCCTGCACATATTGCCTCCTCCGACTTTATGCAATTTCCAGGGAGGTTTTAAGCCCTTTTCTAGTTTGACCCATGTAGTTTTCATATTGGCATCGGCAGCAGATTTGCTTTTTCAATCACGAAGGTCTTTCGTTAGGTGACCATTTTAGGTTGTAGGAAGCTGGCAGACAATTATGAAAATTATTATGCCATACTGTAAGAACGGCAGTCAAGCTAAACCATGGCGAACTCATGTAGAGGCGGACTGAATAGCTGAGGAGTGGCAAGAGGGGAAAAAGTAGACTTACAGGCATAAGACGTGTGCCCGATGATGTGCAGTTTCGATCCGCCAGTTCCGTCGTGTCACAAACGGACTGATAGTCATAGTATTTCACCCTTTAAATGTAAGGAATATTACCAAAAGCAGTCAGGAAAAGTATTTCCAACCCGTTGGAAACCCAAAGTTTCCTAGTTTTGACGGTATCTGAGGGAAACTGTCTGTCAAACAGGATGCGACCTAATATATGACAAATGGCTAAATCACAGTAACTATACACAACCCTATAGCCTGCGCGAACTTAATCGCACGTCTGTTTGAGGACACGCAAATTTCCCAGAAGAATAGTAACTAACATTTCCTTGTATCCAGTAACGAAATTTTTTTCGATAGGATTCAACAAAAGAGTTTTAATACTACAATTTGATGACTTGCGATTTGTTTCAAATTAATTAATTGAAAGCGTAAACTATAGTCTAACTTGCAGCTGAGTCCAGAGAACTCTAGATATCGCTAACTAACATCTACATAGGTTGATTCCAAACGACAACTATAATAAAGCGATATGGTAGAGGAACGTAATAAACATGCGTATGGAATAACCAACGAATTTTGCGAAACGAATGAAGCTTTCAGATGTGTGCGTAGTTTGGAGCAACGAAGAATGACAGTTCAATTATCGAAAACAAACGTATATTCACCAATTTGTCTTCCGAATTTTTCAATGGGAATTTTCGCAAATTTAAAAGTTCAATATTGGTTGAAATTACAATTCTTCGAGTAAAAACGGTTAAATATAAAGCTAATCTGTCCGATCAGTATAATAACAGAAATCCTGTGAAATTTTTCTAAAACTGCAATTTGTGATTTCACATCGAAGGCTATAAGAAGCATGGTCAAAAAAATCAGTAAGACTCCTGTGAAGGATTGACCAGATTCTGAAAAACGTGCAATAAACAATACCTATTCAGTAAAGGTGGCGACCACATACTACACACCAGCATCGTGGAAACATTCCATAGCCCTACAGTTTATTTTCTTCAAATAGTGGTGTCACGGAGATAGAACAGTAACGATTTGCGCGTGCATGTGTTTCCAGTTGAACAGACTTAAATGTCACGAACTCGTCCAAAATCCGCCATGCTTTTATGAAATAGCGGAGTCAAACAATAGAGGACCGATGTGTGCGCAAAGTCTGACAGCACAACATTGTAAGTATTTGTGTGCAATACACTCGTTGGACAGCTGCGGTGCTCGCTTTGTAATGGCCACCGTCTTCGTCTGAACACGTAACCAGCAGATTTACCAAGTTTCCAGTCTGTATCTGTTCCTGTACAGTGCGGAGGTCTAAATAGTCTACCAGGTAAAGAAATCCAATCACCTTCAAACCCAACACCCATCGAAATACCAGCACTATCGACCGACATTCAGAGCACGCGTCGACTTGGTCCGATATCTTCGGATATACCATCCAACTTATCAATTCTCCCCGGAGGATCGATATCAACAACAGCATCCTGAACTTAAACCCATCCTTAACGTCACCATCAACATCATCAAGTGTAGTGAAGGCTTACTTCCGATCTGTCCCAACTGCAATCAC